GCAGGCTCACAGCACATTTGACCCAGTCCTACCGATGGCAACAGAGTCCAGGACAAAGTGACCTCAGCTGTAGCAGTCTGGCTCTCCTGCTTACCCCTTCCTCAGCGCCAGGCTCCCAAGAAGCAGCCTCCTCAGAGCCCCCTTCACCTCCTTGTTCCTGAGGGTGTAGATGAGGGGGTTGAACAGGGGTGTGACGATGTTGTAGAAGAGGGTGAAGAACTTGCCCTGCTCCTGCGAGGCACTGCGTTCAGGCTGCATGTACATGTAGATGATGTTCCCATAGAACAGGGCCACCACGGTCAGGTGGGAGCCGCAGGTGTTGAAGACTTTGTGCCTCCCGGAAGACGACCGCATTCTGAGCACGGCACCCACGATCTGGCTGTAGGAGACCAGGATGAACATCAGGGGGCACAGCACGATGCCCACGGCCAAGATAAACACAGCACCTTCCATGATAGAGGTGTCCACACAGGCCAGGCGGATCAGGGCCGGCATCTCACACAGGAAGTGGTCCACACGTCGGTTCCCACAGCGAGGCAAGCTCAGGGTCACAGGAGACATGGCCAGTGAGTTGGCCACCCCACAGCCCCAGGCCAGGGACACCAGGCCCAGACAGACCCTCGGATTCATGATCACCAGGTAGTGCAGGGGCCTGCAGATGGCCACAAAGCGGTCATAGGCCATGACGGCCAGCAGCAGGCATTCCACACCGCCCAGTGCCAGGAACAGGAAGAGCTGCAGGGCACAGCCTGCATAGCTGATGGTCTTGTCACGTCCACTCAGGTTGTAGAGCAGCTGGGGGATGGAGCTGCTGGTGAAGCTGAGGTCCAGGAAGGACAGGTGGGTGAGGAAGAAGTACATGGGCGTGTGCAGGTTAGGGTCCAGCCGCGACACCAGGATGATGGTGCTGTTGCCCAACAGGGTGAGGACGTAGGCAATGAGGATGACCACAAAGAGGACCCTCTCCAGGCTGGGGCGGTCAGAGAATCCCAGCAGGATGAACCCCCCGTGGGTGCTGCTGTTAGACGCATCCATGTCCCTGCCCAGAAGCTGGGTTCTCTTACACACTGGTTGAGTGTCCCACATCAAGACTGTCTTATTATGTGTCATGCAGCAGCAGAGTCGTTTTGATGACATATTGAAAGAATGCAGTCTACCTCAGAGTCTGGAGAACTTCAACAACCATGATCAGTCCATGCTGTTGGATGTCTGCCTGTCTAAGCTTACAGGATTAACCTGTAACCACATAGGAGCAGATGGTTTCTCTGAAGAAGTGTCTCATGGGGGAAAAGGTGATTTATATGTAAGTGGCTTTCAAACGTCAGGAATGTCCTCATATTAAACTGACCTGATGGAACCTCAATCAAATGTCAGGCTGGTCTCTTTTTGACATTTACGTATTAGAAGAGTCGTAATAGCCAGTTCTTAGAACTGCTATTGGGGAATTCATTCATTCGCATGAACTGTTTGGTTGTAAATTGGAATGGTAATTCTGTGAAAGTTTTCAAAGATTCACTATTTTTAAACTAATACCTGCCCTTCATGGTTCATGCTACATGCCTCATTCATCTGTTTAGTATGTTTAAAACTTCTTTCAGTACAGACAGAGCGTAGGAGAGCAGCACATGGATCTGCCTTCTGCTGCTTTACTCCGCCATCAAAGCTCATGTCAGCATAACCCTGGACGCTGGGAACCCCACACAGCCGCCTCCCGGGAAGGACAAGACCCGGGGACTGCAGCCTCTAGGTGTGTGCCCAGCAAGGGGCTGGGGTAGCAGGCTGAGCTCCCCCCGGGACCCAGGCACCTCGCCTGAGGCACAAGTGTCCCACTACATGGAACAGATATTTTAACAAAAACAGCATGTCTTCCCTTAAACTTAAAATCACGTTTTTATTTTTACCTCCCTGCCCAAAATAATGCCGCAACCCAGAAGAAAGTAAAATAGAGTGTAGATACTGTGAGCAGCATTCTTGCCTCTCTCTCTGTCTCTCTCACTCACTCTCCTGTCACATACCCCACTACTTAGACACCTGCACACACTGGAACACGTCTGCTGTGTTCAGAGCCTGTAGTCCTACGTGTGCACTTCCAGCGCCTGAGGGGGGCTGCACTTCCTGTGAGGGGCTGCACTTCCAGCACCTGAGGGGAGGGGCCTGCACTCTTTGACTGTGAAGGGAGGCTCAGGGCAAGGTCCATGTTTGCATGACCCTGTCTTTAATGTACAAGCACCAGGAACCAGCGCCATTTCAAACTTTTAGAGTGTGTGTGTGTGTGTGTGTGTGTGTGTGTGTGTGTGTGTGTGTGTGATAGAGGCTTTTCTCATTAAAAACCCTTACAGTCCCTTTCTCATTAAAAGCCCCTACAGTCCCTTTCTCATGAAAAGCCCTACAATCCCTTTGCCTGAAGTTGCTGATGTGTCGCTTTCACTGTCTGTCTCTTCCTCCTCCAAGATAACTGTCCTGTCCACCTTACTTCTGAAGCTGAACAAACTGAAAGAGGGTGAGAAGCAGGGAGAGAGGCAGGGACAGGAGGCCCAGGACAGATGGCAGCAGTCCACAGAGCCTGCTGCAGCGCTAAGGACCCAGCCGCCCAACTCTGCGAGGGACAGCGTGATAGAGGACGAGGCTGAGGTTAGGGTCCAGGTCACATGCCCCAGTCTTCCCACAGAAGCTCCCGGGACAGCTGATGCTGTGATGGCAAGGGGGACACCAGGTCTGGCTTCACAGGATCTCCTTACCAACACCCTTCAGAGGAAGCTACACAGGGCACATGGGCTTGCAGTCAGAGGCCTTCTGCCCAGCTTCCCTCCACTGAGATGCTGTTACCAACATGGGCAGCACACTGCTTCCCCTGCAGCATGCTGGAGGCAGAAGACGGGAGGTCTCAGGCTACAGAGGGGAAAGGTCCTGTCCTCCACAGGTGGACCAGAATCTGCCACCTCCGGGAAGGGCTTGGAGGGACAGCCTGGCCGAGGTTGGGGTCGGGAGTCCTGGGGATGGTGGCTGTCTCCCACTTGACATCAGCGTCCCCATGTCCTGCTCCCTGGTCCCCCCACCCCTCCACACCCCTCTGCAGCCAGCCAGCCCAGAGGCCCTGCTGAGGCACCTCTGCTGGCACACAGCAAAGCTCCCTGTGGGTCACGTGGCTTGGCCACCACTCTCCCAGCCGGGGAAGGAGCCAGCTCTCCCCGGTCAGGCTAGGGACTGGGCACCCTCACCATCAGGGTGCGGCCCTGGGTTCCTTCAGTCAAAGCAAGGGTCTCACCTCAGATGTCAATTTCTTACTTCTGCCCGACAAATTCTGGAGCATTTTCCCACAAAATCTAACGTTAAAAGAAAAAGAAAGCAGTGTCTTCACATGGTATCTGTGCCAGGCAGGTCGTCGGACAAAGGGAGTACCTAGCTGAGCCAAAGCAGCAGGAGTCGCCATGGGGTGCCCGCCTTGTTGGTCATGATCCACAGCCTTTCAGTGGCCAGGAGGCGGTCAGTAGGATGTGTGAGTGTCAGGTCAAATCCACAGGGAAGACCAGCACTCAAGCTGGGTTCCCCACATGGAGCCCACTCACCGTCTTTCCTATGTGCTGGGGCAGCCCCAAAAGTCGGAGGCCCGAAGCGGCTTTCCTGTCTGGCTGGCACACAGGGCTGCACCAGGAGAAGTACACCTGTGGGAGGAGGTGCTGGTACCTGTCCTGCTGCCCCGGCCTGATCCCCCACAGGTCCCTGCTTTGTGTTGGCAAGAGACACCTGCAGGCTGGTGCAGCCCTCCCAAGAGGAATTGGGCGGTGCCTGGGGCTGGGCCACCTCCACCAACCGCCCTCAAGCAAGTATGGGGCCTTTTGACCCCCAGGGACCTTGCAGCACCCAGGGGTGTGCCACAGCCTCTGTGCCTCCCCAGGATGATGCAGAAAACAGGGACCCTGAGATTTTGTCCCTTGACATGAAGAGGAAGAACTTCTCACAGAAGCACAGCTGGGAAGGGCAGGCATCGCTGTAAACACCGTGGTCCCCAAGCACCTGCAGACTGCTCGTTCCCAAGAGTTTCAATGCTGGGGGAGAACAGCCTGTCCTCTCCAGAGGGGCACCACGGGGAGCCACGGGATGACTGCCCTCACCAAGACTGCTGCCTGCTGAGCCTAGGGTGGGGGGACGCAAGGTGACTGGAGCATGGGTTTTTGGGAAGAGTCCAGGCTAAGCAGGACAGCTCAGGTGCCGCAGAGCCGAGGTCATCACCTAGTCAGGGCAGAGGGGTGTGCGGCATGCAGGGGTGTGTGTGGACAGACCTGAGCTCCACACACATGCAGGGCCAGCGCTCTCACATCCTCCTGGACAACGCAGGAGCAGACCCTAGGAGAGACACAGAGCAGGCTGGACGTGTTCATGCCCAGTCCCCAATGGGTCCACCCGCTTGCTGGGATGCCAGGTGTGGAGGCTGCCACTGGCTGAGCAGGCTGCTGCCCTCGGCCTACAGGTGCCCTCCTCCCGACACCCTCACTCAGCGCCTCTCAACATGCTGGGACACACTCTCAGGATTTAATGCTGCCCTGCAGGCACGGAGTCACACAGTCCATACACAAACAGGGGCTGAGCGAGCACCAGCCTCATGCCAGCATTGGAGGTGCTGGGAGGTCCGTCTGCAGCAGCTCAGAAGGGCAAAGGGAAATGAATGAATGAATAAATAAATAAATGATTAAATAAATAAATAAATAACACCACAGGAGAACACGCCGGAAGCTGCTGCATGAGGTGTAGTGGGTCTGTGGAGTGCAGTGAAGAGCTGGACCAGCAGCCTTGCGGGAGGGGGCGGCGTGGCGCACGGGCAGCAGGTCTGGAGGGAAGGGGCTCCCAAGCAGCCAGAGCCTGGGGAAGCTCCCAGCGGAAGTCAGTGACAGCCCAGCAGAGTGCACCTGCCCAGGCCTGAGGGGTCCTGGTGGACGTCGGTCGCAAACTCAGACTTCCAAAGACTCAGCGCTTGGTGGGAAGGACAGAATCATCACCACCTGTCCTTCTGCTCAGCATTTCCTGGGAAGGCTGACCATGAGACCTTCAACATGAACCAGATCTCCGAGGGGCCGTGGCTGCCCCAGGTGCCAGAACCAGCAGCTGACTGAGGGCTTAGCAGCCATCCTGCCTCTGGGTTTAGGGCCTGTCTGACCCGAAACGGGAAGAGTTCCCACGTTAAAGCTGCGACCAGGTGAAGTACGAAGCCAGGGCAAGCGCGGGCACCAAGCGTGGGTAATGCCGGACTCAGGGATCTCAGAGGCGAGAGGAGGCGGCAGGTGCGGGAGCTGCACCCGGCTGTTCCTGATCCACATCTCACAGCCGGACATGAGAGCGAGCGGAGGGTCAGCAACAAGAAGTGCCAAGCAACAGGTCAGTCAGTCAACAAACAAGGTAAGGCAGGGCCCGGGAGGCTAAGGGAGCTCTAGAGGTGACGCCTCAGGCAGCGCGCTCAGTGCCTTGGCTTGGTGGGCCTGGGGAGGCCGCTCCGCAGCTGCAGCCTCCACCCCGTGCCGTCCTCCTCCACGCAGCACTCCGGACAGCTTCCTTGGAGGTGAGGGTTGCACAGCAGGACCAGCGCAGCCAGGGCTGGACAGTCCCCGGTCTCAGGCAGGCCCCATCCCGGCGCCCACGTCCCTCAGAGGCCGCAGGAGCAGCGGAGTCCGGTCGCAGACGAAGAAGTAGGGCCGCAGCGCGCCTGAGAACAGGTGGCTGAACGTGTAGATGTGCACGCCGGCGGGCGCGTCATAGAAGGAGACTTCCCCCGCCTCGTAGTCCAGGAACACGCCCACGCAGCGGGGCCGCCAAGGGCGCGCACGGGGCACCGGGGGCGAGGCCAGCACCAGGTATTCGTCTTCCCGCAGCAGCCACACGGCCCAGACTCCATGCTCAGGGGACGGCGTGTGCTCCCCTTTTCGGGCAACGCCGTCCCGGCACACGCCCAGGCCCCACTCGGCGCCCTCGCCCACGGCCACTTCCCAGTAGTGGCGCCCTGAGCAGAAGGTCTGTAAGCCCAGCACGCATGGCCACGTGTCGAAGCGCTCAGGGTTGCCTGGGACGGCCCTCCAGTGCTCCCCATCTTGGACGCTGCGCAGGTCGGCGGTCAGCAGCAGGCTGGGGTGCGCCGTGGCAGGGTCCAACTTGATGTCCACTGCGTTTGGAAAAGGGGACATCTCGGGTCAGACCTCAGGAAGGCCACACGGCGTCCTGGCCCTGAGAACAGGCAGGTGACTGACAGGTGGCCCTTCCTGGCGCATTCCTCAGGTTCTGTTGCAGGCTGGCATGCAAGCCAGGGCTTACCCAAGGAGGCCAAGGCCATGGCGGCCGACCTTGTACAGAGCTCTTACAGCAGCTGCAGTTACAGGACCTCAGCTCTGGACCGGCAGGAAATCCCCATGGTGTAGAATCGGCCACGGTCAGCTTCGCTAACCCAGCTGTTGGCCTGGTGTCTGGGTGAGGCCTTTCCTGCCACGAGGGTATCTGAGTGTGTCTGGTGGACAGGTAGGAACAACTGCAGGGACCCAGACAACTCACCTGGGAGGGACCAGGACCCCTGATCTCCACTCACACCCACCCAAAACCACCCATCATGTGGCTGACCTCGTGACTCAAGTGTGGAGTTACAGCCCCACACCACTGCCAGGCAGCACTGGGACTGGCTTCTGCCTCCCAGGAAGCCCAGCCTGGCCAAGGGACACCCTGGGCCAGGGGCCAGCTGATCCCACAGGCAAAGTGGTACATACCCCAGAACCTCCTCAGCATGTCCCTCAAGCCAGGGATGCGGCACAGGGTCCTCAGCTCCATGGGCACAGTCTCCAGCTCCAGTGGGGCAACGGCCTCACCTCTGGGTAGGCACAGAAGCAGCACGGCCACAGGTGGGCACCAGCAGGGCCCCTCAGCCCTCTGGCCTCCCTCCCATAGGGATGCCCAAGGCCAACATACCTGCTCAAGGCTCCTCCTACTCCCTGCAAGTGAAAGGGGACACACAGGGTTCAGACCCCAGAATGGCTCCGTCCCCAGGACGGCTCTGTGCCTAGGACAGCTCTGACCCCAGGACAGCTCTGTCCCCAGGATGGCTCTGTGCCTAGGACGGCTCTGTCCCCAAGAATGGCTCTGTCCCCAGGATGGCTCTGACCCTAGGACGGCTCTGTGCCCCAGGACGACTCTGTGCCCCAGGACGGCTCTGTCCCCAGGACGGCTCTGTCCCCAAGAATGGCTCTGTCCCCAGGATGGCTCTGTGCCTAGGACGGCTCTGTCCCCAAGAATGGCTCTGTCCCCAGGATGGCTCTGACCCCAAGACGGCTCTGACCCCAGGACGGCTCTGACCCCAGGATGGCTCTGTGCCTAGGACGGCTCTGTCCCCAGGACGGCTCTGTGCCCTAGGACAGCTCTGACCCCAGGACAGCTCTGTCCCCAGGATGGCTCTGTGCCTAGGACGGCTCTGTCCCCAAGAATGGCTCTGTCCCCAGGATGGCTCTGACCCTAGGACGGCTCTGTGCCCCAGGACGACTCTGTGCCCCAGGACGGCTCTGTCCCCAGGACGGCTCTGTCCCCAAGAATGGCTCTGTCCCCAGGACGGCTCTGTGCCTAGGACGGCTCTGTCCCCAAGAATGGCTCTGTCCCCAGGATGGCTCTGACCCCAAGACGGCTCTGACCCCAGGACGGCTCTGACCCCAGGATGGCTCTGTGCCTAGGACGGCTCTGTCCCCAGGACGGCTCTGTGCCCTAGGACAGCTCTGACCCCAAGAATGGCTCTGTCCCCAGGATGGCTCTGTCCCCAAGGACGGCTCTGACCTTAGGACAGCTCTGTCCCCAGGATGGCTCTGTGCCTAGGACGGCTCTGTCCCCAAGAATGGCTCTGTCCCCAGGATGGCTCTGACCCCAAGACGGCTCTGACCCCAGGACGGCTCTGACCCCAGGATGGCTCTGTACCTAGGACGGCTCTGTCCCCAAGTACGGTTTTGATCCCAAGGATGGCTCTGTCCCCAGGATGGCTCTGTCCCCAAGGACGGCTCTGACCCTAGGACAGCTCTGTCCCCATGATGGCTCTGTACCTAGGACGGCTCTGTCCCCAAGAATGGTTATGTCCCAGGATGACTCTGTCCCTGGGCTGGCTCAGGCCAGCTTATAGCCTGGGAAAGTAGTGAAGGATGGCCCAAAGCCTTGGGACCCTGTGCCCACGTGGGAGACCCAGGGGCAGTTCCAGGCTCCTGACTTTGGATTGGCTCAGCTCCAGCCATTGAGGCCATTTGAGGACTGACCAGCAGTTGGAAGATATCTCTCTCTTCTTTTCTGCCTTTCAAATAAAAATACATAAGCTGATATTTGAGACTTGGTAAGGCAAGACAGTGAATGCTGCTGAGAAAATTTAAATTCTTGCATTATTTACTATCACTTAAACAGTGTTATAAGGTGCTCCCCACTCATAAGGCAATTGGCATAACAATGATTCTAATATTGTTAATAATTTTGACTTTTATCTGATTATTTTGAGGATGAAATGAGAAGATTTTAATTAAAATGCCTTGTAAATAAAAATGCTAGTTTCTTTAAGATCCCTCACTGGTTACCAGCCATGCTTGTGGTAATCACACAGAGCCTAATGCTACCAGCTACATTCACGGAGTCCACAGTGGGTAAGGAGATGTTTCACTGATGTTTTGTCAGTGAAAAATCCGATCAGGAACCGGGGCTGAGGTGGGAGAAGGAGGCCCAGACGTTGCTTTTCCTTTCTTTTCTCCTATTTACTTGTTTTCTTTGAAAGGCAGAGAGACCAAAATAGAGCTGGAACGCGAGCTCTCAATCACTGATTCACTCCCCAGATCCTCACCAAGGCTGGACCAGGTCAATCAGAACTCCATCGGATCTCCCTCCTGGGTGGCAGAGACCTAAGTACCTGTTCGCTACCTGCTGGTCAGCGACAGAAGGCTGGAACTAGAAGCAGAGCTGACCCTGGAACCCCAAGCAAGTTGACCTTGGATATGGTACCCCAGTGGGCATCAACTGCAGGCCTTAGAGACAGCTCACACCACCCACAGCCAGTCTCTGTCCACACACAGGGCTGGCCAGCTCCAAGGCACATGGCCATCCCAGTGCCCTGTGCCTCCTCCCTCGGCCCTTCACCCCCAAGCAGAGTGAGAGAGACCCTGGGAGCCACCAGCCAGCCTGCGCTCCAGGCCTCAGCACCTGCCCACCAAGTTAACATGGAATGTCCCACTGGGCGGTGAAACACAGAGCGAGTTCCAGGAATCATGGCTGCCCAGCATTGTTCCCCGGGCCTGGCGCCAGCCACACACCAGTACCCGCCTCACCTCTAGCAGGTCAAGATCTGGGCTCCGACACCGCTGTTCCAGCTCTTCGGCCAGCTCCTTCAGGGCCTTGTTGTGCTGTGCCAGCCGGCTCTTGCTGTCCCGCAGCCTCTGCAGCGTGGCCCGCTCCTCCTCCTCCAGCCCCCGCAGCTGCAGCTGCTCCTCCATGGCCAGGTAGCCACGGTGCTTCTCAAACTCCAGCCGGAAGCGCTGCCTCTGTGCTTCCACCTTCTCCTGCAGCCACACAGAGAACCACAGCGTCATCCCCAGGGCACAGTGCCAGGGCCCAAGTCCCCGCCCCATCCCTCTGTACTTCCACCACCTCCAACCACACAGAGAACCACAGCGTCACCCCCAGGACACGGTGCCAGGGCCCAAGCCCCACAGCGTCACCCCCAGGGCACAGTGCCAGGGCCCAAGTCCCCGCCCCATCCCTCTGTGCTTCCACCTTCTCCTGCAGCCACACAGAGAACCACAGCGTCACCCCCAGGACACGGTGCCAGGGCCCAAGTCCCCGCCCCATCCCTCTGTGTGCTGGTGTCCTATGCTGTCCTCAGAGGAAGTGGCTTCCATGCCCGGGGTTGGAGAGACAGGGACAAGGGACTGTGGTCAGATCCCTTCCTAGGGCGCTATCCCTCAGTCTCCACACAAGATGGCCAAGTCGCCAGCCCACCAGCATGTAAGAGCATCACTTGTATTTGCACGAACTGCATCACGCAAAAATGAGTTCAGTCAGTCAGCTGTAACCGCCTAGTGATTTAGTCGTAGAACAAGATAGGGATAGAAAGTCAGGGACGAAGTTAGATTGGAGCCTTACATGATTGGAGCAAACCATTATTAGATTCATTATTAGATTCTATAAACGGCAAGACTTTATCTTTCCATCAAACCCAGAAGTCATAATGTGGAAATCAGGGCGCCCAATCTACACACTCCAGGTAGAACTCTTGTGGGAGGGTGGCTGACCCTCACACTCCGCTAAAGCTGAGTTCCCACACAGTAACCTCACCAGAGCATGCCAATAAAATTTTCTGGGCCCAACATGGTAGCCTAGTGACTAAATCCTTGCCTTGCATGCACCAGGATCCCATGCGGGTGTCAATTCATGTCCTGGCTGCTCCACTTCCCATCAGCTCCTTGCTTGTGTCCTGGGAAAGCAGTCAAGGATGGCCCAAAGCCTGCATCTGTGTTGGAAACCCAGAAGTTCCTGGCTCCTGGCTTTGGATCAGCTCAGCTCCAGCCATTGCAGCCACTTGGGGAGTGAACCAGCAGATGGAAGGTCTTTCTGTCTCCCCTCTCTTTAAATATGTCTTTCTAATATAAATAAATCAATCTTACAAAAAATTGCCCCTGGCAAAGAGTGCTCCTTAGAGCCATTCAAGAAGGTCAGACATGAGTTTGGGGTAGAAACTGGGAAGATGTCTCTGCAGGAGCTTAACACAGCCGGTGGCCTCAGAACCACCACGTCTGTCCTGGCCTCCTGTCTTGGCTCATGCTGACTGCAGTGTGAGGCACATGCATGTGTGCTGACCATAGAGTCCTTCCCTGCTCACACTTGCTCGCACGGAGGAAGGCGAGGCAGTTAGCGCATCTCCCGGCAGCTGTATTCCTACCTTCCAGATCACGGTCTTCTTTCCCACGTTGGCCTCCTGTGCCAAGGCCTCCTCCAGCTCCTTCCGCACATGCTCCAGGGCCCGCCGGAGCTTCACCTGTTCGGGAAGATATGCCAGAGCTGTGAAGAGGCCCAGCATTCCACCAGACACGGGGGCAGCTCAGAAGGCAGCTGCAGCAGAAGATTGCTCTCCCAGTCAGTATCTGAACAAGCACAAATGCACTTTAACACCAGACACAGTCACAGATTTGGCTATGCCTATGTTCATTGCATCCATCTTTGCAGGAATTAAAGTAATTTTTAAATGTTAAGGGCCAGAGTGATGACTCAACAGGCTGATCCTCTGTCTGTGGCACCTGCATTCTATATAGGCATTATCTGTATCCCAGCCACTCCACTTCTTACCCAGCTTCCTGCTTACAGCCTGAGATGACTCAAGTGCTTGGGCCCCTGCACCCACATGGGAGAACTGGAGGAAGCTCCTGGCTCCCAGCATTAGACCAGCACAGCTCTGGCTGCCAAGGCCATTCAGGTGCGAACCCGTGGGTGAAAGATCTGTGTTGCCTTCTCTCTTTTTGCAACTCTTTCAAGTAAAGTAAATAAATCCTTAAAAAACTAAAAGGATATTATATATTAGCAGAACAAAATATGTAAGTAAGGTGTTGAAGGATATTCAACTAGAATTGCAATTACAATGCTAAACAGATAAATACATTTTAATATTTGCCTTATTTTCTTTCATTTTTCATTTTTCATTTGAAAACGCAGAGAGCCAGAGAGAAGGAATCACGCACACAGAGATCTTCCATCCACTGGTTCACTCCCCAGGTGCCCTCAGCACCCACAGATGGGTTGACATCAGAGCAGGAGGCTCAGCCCACATCTCCCATGTGTGTGGCAATGACCTAAGCCCTGGAGCCATCACCTGCTGGGTCTACGGTGCATGGTCACAGGAAGTAGGTCTGGAACGGGACCCCAAACACTGCCGTGTGAGATGCAGGACTGAACCCCAAACACTGCCGTGTGGGATGCAGGACTGGACCCCAAACACTGCCGTGTGGGATGCAGGAATGAACCCCAAACACTGCCGTGTGGGATGCAGGAATGAACCCCAAACACTGCCGTGTGAGATGCAGGACTGGACCCCAGACACTGCCGTGTGAGATGCAGGACTGAACTCCAAACACTGCCGTGTGGGATGCAGGACTGAACTCCAAACACTGCCCAACCCTGCTCTGTTACACTTCACAAACCACCACCCGCTGAAGCAAACACTTTTACCCTCAAGGTCCCATACACAAAGTGTTCCCAGTGGTGGCACCCAAGGGGGAAAGAGTGGTGGTGCTTCCAGGGAAGCCCCGTGCACTTCTGCCGGTAGGGAGCAGCTCTGTGCAGAACAGCTGGCAGCACAAGTTAGGCGGCAGGGCAAGGCAGCAGCTTTGGAACAACAGTGAGAAGGCAAGTCACAGAAGCATGACTTAGCACCTGCTGCAGGGTAAACTCTTCACCCTAAGTTTTACCTGAGAGAGCCAGGAAAGCAAGCTGGCACTTGCTGAAAGGACAGTCAGAGAGAGTGCCTGGAGGAGCCGGGATTTAGTCGATGGAAACAGAAATCAAGAAGGACAAGCAGCCAAGATGCAAGTGGGGGAGATGGGGGAGCAGCCCAGTCCTGCTCTGGAGCACTCACTCACATTGGCACTGGGAGGAAGGTTCTAGATGCGTCAGGCTGCTGCTGAGATGGAGGCTCCCAACCCTAACCCTATCCTTAACCCTAACCCTATCCTTAACCCTAACCCCTGGCTCCAGAAGCGCTACAGCAGGAAGAGCTGCTGCAAGGCCAGGCTCAAGCCTATTCCCTATGTACTAGACGCGCCACTGAGTCTGCTGGGGTGGCCAGATTCTCACCGTCACCTCCCTGCTCCTGTACCCCTGGGAGGACTTCTCCCTGGTGCCGTCACTCCCAGGGGCAGAGGGGCAGCCCCGGGAATGCCCAGCCACCAGGTCACCTGAGTTGCACACAGTCCTGGGCAAAGCCACATACAGTACCACAAACCTGAGACCCCCAGCAAGAGGTCCCCACAGACGCACCCCTATGACCTGGAGCTTGCAGGACGCCCCACCTTACCCCCGGGGGGAGAGGCAATTGCAGGACGCACCACCACTATGTCCAAAGGCTGGAGGGCCTAAGTGAGCAATGGCCAGCCCGCTGCAGAGCGTCCACCTCCCAGAGCAGAGAACCCCGGCTGATCCAGAGGCTGGGTCTGACCAGCGCAAGCGAAGCATTGTGGGAGTCCTCAGGTGGTGAGCGAGTTCTGGACGCCTGCGTGAGCCTCACCTGGTAGCAATTGGCGGCCGCACCTGCTGAGGCCCCGGCTCCCCAGCACTGCATGACCCTCACCTGGTAACGCGCAGCCGCCTCGGGCAGCGGCGCTGAGCGGTGGCCCCGGTGCTCCGCGGCCGCGCACACCCAGCACAGTGCAGTGCGGTCCTCCTCGCAGAAGCGGCTCAGCGGCTCCCCATGTCGAGCGCACCGCCGCGCCCCCGCCGGGATGGCCGCCAGCCCCAGGCGCCGCACGCTGTCCACTAGCCCGGCCAGCTGCCGGTTGGGCCGCAGGCTCGAGGGCCTGAAGGGGGCCCGGCACTGGGGGCAGGCGTAGACGCCACCGCGGGCGCTGTCTGCCTTGTCGCACAGCTCGGAGATGCAGGCGCGGCAGAAGCTGTGGCCGCAGTCCACGCTGACTGGCTCCTGCAGGAAGTCCAAGCACACAGGGCAGCGGGCCTCGTCGCGCAGCCGGTCCACGGATTCCCCCGAGGCCATGCCGTGCGCTGAGTCACCGCCACCCTGACTCTCTGGGCCACCCTGGCCTGCTGCTCTACCCTCACTTCCCGAAGTCCCCGCCCCGCGGGTTTATCTGCTGCCCTGGGCAGGACTTCAAGTGAGCCACTTCTGGTGCAAACTGGCAAGTCAGACATCCGGAAGGAGGACACAGTGATAGCTCCGGGCCTCGCCTCCCCGGGCCCTCGGGCTTCCAGCTGCCTCTGCCCCTCCCCGACCTGTACCCGCACTCCACATTCCAGTCTGGAAGAGTTCAAGAAATCCTGAGCTGAATCAGCCCATTGGAGTTCTCCTCACATAATTATTACCTTGAAATCAAACTTCTCTTTATGCAGCATAACTGTTACACACACACACACACACACACACACACACACACACACACACACACACGTGCTTCTATTTTCCTGTCTTCCGCTAATTGATTTGCAACCTGGCCTGGTGGGTGGCGGTCTGACAGTTGTGTGCAGGTGACAGCCTAGCCACCCCCTGAGCAGGTGAGCTCAGCTGTGTCGGGACTATAGGAGGCTGCAGAGAGGGCGAGATCCCCAGTGGGAGGCAGCCTTGGAGAGCGGACAAGTCCTGGGCACACACATCTGTGGGACAGAGTGACGCGTGTGGGTGAGTTTGAAGCAGAGGCAGGCTATGCCTCAGACACACACACACGCACACGCACGCCGGTCTTAGCACACCATGGTGCTTGTTGGTGGACACAGAGCATACAGCATGGGGCTTAGAAGGCCTGTGAGTGGTGCAGAGATCGGAGGCCATCTCTAAGGACTGACCTTGCAGTCACAGCAGATCCTGCAACAACAGAGCAGAACACTGTGGAGGGGCCTGCAAGGAAAGAGGAGAGCCCTCCTGGGCTGTGGGGAAGGGGCAGCATTTCCGCCCCCACACACTGTGACTCAGCGGGGGTGCAGGGCCCCATGCACAACAGCAGATAAAGCTGAGCGCAGGAGCCCATGACTCAGGCCCTGGCAGCTCCTGGGAGGTGAGGACAAGGTCTTGGCCTGTACTCTCACAGGCTGCGGGGTCCAAGGCCATCTGCCTAAATGTCTTCTTGGATGACACAGACAGGCAGACCCTGAGAACAAGCTCAGAGGGTGTGAGCAAACCATTAGAAAGAGAGAAAGAGGCAGAGAGTTTAGCAGCAGGAGTGCAGCCCCTGGCTGCAGGCTGCTGGCTGTGCCACCTGCCACGATGCTTGAGGCAGCAATGACCCCTAATGCCCACCACAGCCAGGGCAGGGCCAGGGTGAAACCAGAAACTCCATCCCACTCTGCCCCGTGGGGACCACTGTCCATTGCCACCAGGTGTGCTAGCAGCAAGCTGGATCAGAAACCCAGGTGGGACTTGATCCCAGGCACAACTTCCTGGGACGCAGGTGTCCCAGCCAGGGCAAGTGACGGCATGAGCAAGAAGCCCTCCCCAGGGGCGGAGGGCGGAGGGCGGGGAGGTGACAGAGTGAATGCGAAGCCCTCCCCAGGTACTGTGTAATTCTGTTCACTGCTGAGTCTCCAGGGCTGCAGCAAAGGACCCACAAAGGGCCCCCAGTAAGCCCCAGGGGGCAGAGCCAGGGCCCCAGAGAAGAGCCTCTCTTGTCCAGAGCAGCTTGTCCCCGGAGCCCGAGGAGCCGCCGTCACTGGGGCCAACACCTCAGCTGAGACAAATGCTCTAGTCAGACTCCGTGTTTGATTCACCATTGCAGAGACCTCCCTAAGCTAAATATTTTGAAAACCCAGATCATAAAGAACATAGGGATTGTCACATTCCCACGTGTCTCGTTGGCAGTCCAGCCTTTGGGGCAGAGTCAAATCCCAGGAGGTTAACATAGCTCACTAACATGATTGGCGCCTGGGGAGCAGGATTCTGAACACCCCAAGATTATTGCAGGGAGTGGCTGCTGCCCGCACCCAATGCCAGTGGGAGATGGCAAGCTTCAGACCCCATGGCAGGAGCATGGTACAAGTCAACATAGGGCAGAGCACCACGGGCCACCGGGCAGGAGCTGGGCAGGGCAGCTCGTGGGCTCACTGGAGAGCGGTGCACTTGCTGTCCCATCTTCTGGTCTGACTGCCCTGGTCACAGACGCTGGGCTTGGCATTTAGACCTGCTTGCCTTGGCACATCTGTATGGAAGCAGTGGGACATTCTGCTCAGAGTGGAGCGCACACGTTAGCTAATCCAGCAGCGAGAGTGACTGAGACAGAGGCCTCAGGAAGCCAACGGCTGTCTGGTTCATTGCATAGAAAAGCAACAATGCCCTTCTGATGTGGGTGCTTCCATGCCCCATGCAAGATGGACCAGGATCCCTGCCAGGCTCTGCCACTGAACCAGCATTGTGGGAGCTGAGTTTTGTGTTTCATCCCCACTCTGGGCAACTGAGGTAATGTCGGCCCTGAAAAGTGGATTCCTGCGGTCTACAAGGGCTTTGGCTGTGAGTGGGGGGTCTCCCTATGGGTGTGCATGGAAGGAAGAGCCCCAACTCTGAACAGCTCCAAGTGACTCATCTGTCCTCATGCTTTAATCCATTGTAATCCATTAAACATGTCAAACGAAGTGGTGGCACTTGCTGGCTCTCCCCCATGGGCTGATGCCCCCAGTGACCCGGATGAGACGGACTCATACATGAGGGCCTGTGGGAAGCTGCACGCAGAGGCATAAACTGTGAGACGTTCTGTTCCTGATACTCCAGGCATCCACAACATCTGTGCCCTGTGCCCTGTGCAGCTCCCACCCTGTGCCCTGTACCCTGTGCAGCTCCCACCCTGTGACCTGTGCAGCTCCCACCCTGTGCCCTGTGCAGCTCCCACCCTGTGCCCTGTGCCCTGTGCAGCTCCCACCCTGTGCCCTGTGCAGCTCCCACCCTGTGCCCTGTGCCCTGTGCAGCTCCCACCCTGTGCCCTGTGCCCTGTGCAGCTCCCACCCTGTGCCCTGTACCCTGTGCAGCTCCCACCCTGTGCCCTGTGCAGCTCCCACCCTGTGCCCTGTGCAGCTCCCACCCTGTGCCCTGGCTATGGGAAGACCTCACATTTCTCTGCCCCCATGGGCAAAGGCCATCTCCCCAAACACGTCCACAGTCACCGAGTTTCAGCTCCTTGGATTCTGGGATGCGGCTGAATGGCAGAGCCTGCTCTTCGCTGTCTTCCTGGCCATCTATGTCCTCACCATCACAGGGAACGCAATGATTGTGACCATGGTGAGCCAGGCAAGGCAGCTTCATTTGCCCATGTACTGGCTCCTTCAGCACCTTTCTGTCTTGGAGGTATGCTACACGTCCACCATTGTGCCCCCTTTGCTAGCCACCCTGATCTCTCAGGGGCGAGCCATCACCTTCTCTGCCTGCATGGCACAGCTCTACTTTTTCGTGTGTTTTGGGGCTACTGAGTGCTTCCTCCTGGCCACCATGGCCTATGACCGGTACCTGGCCATCTGCAGCCCCCTCCACTACCCCTTCCTCATGAGTCCCAGGGTCTGCACAAAGCTGGTGGCTACCTCCTGGCTGGTTGGGGCTGGCACAGGCCTCCTGCCTTCCCTGATGATTGCCCAGTTGGACTTCTGCGGCCCCAACCTGATCGACCACTTCTTCTGTGACCTCCCGCCTCTGATGCAGCTGTCCTGCTCCAGTGTCCACACCACTGAGCTGATCATCTTCATCCTGTCCGTGGCCGTCCTGTGCATTTGCTTTTCTCTGACCCTTGTGTCCTACGTTTTCATTGTGTCCTCCATCCTGAGGATCCCTTCCACCTCTGGCCGAACCAAGGCCTTCTCCACGTGTGGGTCCCACCTGACCGTTGTCAGCATCTACTATGGCGCCATGATCTCCATGTATGTGCGCCCCAGTGCCCACCCATCCCCAGAAACCAACAAGACTGTCTCTGTTTTCTACACTGTGGTCACTCCGCTGCTGAACCCCATTATTTACAGCTTGAGGAACAAAGACTTCAAGGAGGCAGTAAGGAAGGTGGCCTTCGGGAAGTGCAGCTTCCACAGAGTTGGGACAGACGGAGGCGCAGTGCTTGGATGGAGTGGCCTGCGGAGGACACGGTGGTAGGTGAGTGGGGCCAGGGCTGATGGAACAGCTCTGCTGGGCGTCGCTGTGGCCCAGGCAGGTCCGCAGGCTGGGCTGGGACAGCAGCTTCGGCGTCTCTTGGTCAGAAGACAATCATCTCCATCGGATCATTTGGGGGAACTTTTATTCTTGCACTCTTTCTCCATCAGATCCTAAAGTGTACAAGTGGTGTTCAGACTGCCCTTCTTCCTATACCCTTAGGGACAAAGACTTCAGCTTTGAAGAACCATTAGGAGCCTGACCTTGTACCCCTAAAATCGTTAGGGACATGAGTGTTTATTAAACAGCTCTCGAAGGAGTGAATGAAAACAGGATGGCGAAAGGCATGTTGACCCACATGCTCTACTAAAGAAAGAGCTAACGAGAGTTTTTGACGTGCCAAGCATTTATCTGGAATAACTTGGAATTTCTAATGTCTTTTGTTCAATGCAGTTATAGGGGACAGAGGGAGGAGGAACCTGGGGATATAATCACACAGAAAGGAACAGGGTTGACTGGGCCCCAGTGGAAAGCATAATGAATCAGAGGGAGTTACCAAAGCAGGAACACAAATGTGAAACAGTGTGGCTGGGGAGCTGTGTTGGCACCAGAGCAGAGTCCGGACCACCTCGGAGCAAGGCACAAACAGGAGGTGGGGGGGAGGAGGGCTGAGTGTCCGCAGCTCAGGACTTGAAAAGCAGTGGAGCTGCCGGATGTCACTTATCTGCAGCTTGCACCTGCCGGGGGCCATTTCAGCAAATGCACAAACAGACCGGAGCCAGACACCAGGCAGCTAGCAGCCTACACTGTGTCTAAGCAACAGGGTCCAGGGTCCTTGGAGGCTTTCCATCCAGCAAGGCCGAAGTTGAGGCCAGCGACAGGAGCAGGCGACGCTGGTGAAATCCTCCTCCCTGTGGGAAACACACACACACACACACACACTGCTGAGTCTTTCAGCCTCTTCTAGGTAGCTGAGCTGGTGACTTACTGACCCCCATGCCATCAAGGCCA